ATTTAGAAACCAAGGAGTTTTAAAACTTGGAAATTTGGGAATTTGAGAGTTTCAAAATTCGAGAATTTGGGGATCTGAGAGTATCAGAATTTGAAAATGTGAGAGTTCCAACATTTCAGAATATGCGAGAATTGGTAAACCAATTAATTGAAAGCTTCCAGATTTCAGAGACTTGTCTAACTTTCTCACTGCTAAATTTCCGCCTCTTCAAAATAAAAATCACTTAGTTTTTTGATTGTACGAAGGGAGGGGAAGGAGTCAAGAATCAGGGCAGATGGCATAGAGAAAGAGACGCGAAAGAAATTATAAGGCGAGGGTATTCGATCGTCACCACGCAAACTGATTTGAAGTTTAAACGCAAGGTGTGTGTCTATCGGTTTGGTTTTAGCCCTGAGCAACTGCTCTGAGAGCGGAGGCGAGCCGGAAGCCATGCTGGATATCCACCACCCAGGAACTGGTCTCGAGACTCATCACCAACAGTTTCACAACTCATATGGTAATATCAAAATACATCACTTTAATATTTTACTTACAAACTCGTACGCGGACGTCCTCCTATACTTACTATAGAGGCAAACTAATCAAATTGTATAAATATATCATTTACAAAATATTCGAATTGCATAACAATTTTCCCTCCATTAAACTACACAGAAAAAGTAAAGAAAACGTAGATTTAAGAAGAATTTCATAAACATATTTATACATATATATATATACATAGTCTACATAGAATTTGATCAAATATTTTAGTTAAACAAAAATTGAATAGCAAAGAAATTATAGTGTCCTTAGATTAATTACAAATTTGCTGAATTCAATCACAACCCCTTAGTTATTTATAAAAAAGCATTCAATCATCCTGAAAATTGAAAAAAAAGAAAAATTAGAAATTATTTCTAATATTATTATAATAGTGTCTTAGAAAGTTTTGAAAGATTTGTCCGAAGGTGGTAGAGAATTTTGTTCCAGTGTTCCAACCACCCTTTAAAAAATTAGAATTCTAACGACTCAAGTCTTCTTAATGAGTGCAAAAAGCTAGATGAACGAATCCACCCTTAGCATAGTCATTTTAGAGCTCTTTTTAGAAGAGCATTTCGACCATCTCGAAGGCAGATTCTCGCGAATGCTTGATCGAGCGTCTCCTCGAGGGTTGCTAGGCCCACGAGGCTGTATTTTTCGGGGCTACCAAGGCATATCGTTCTCACTCACTCATTCGTATCATTTCAATTTTTCCTTTTTCTCCTTTTGTTCAAACTTGAAATAATAAACACGTTCTGGAATCGGCGATTTGGGGTCGCGAACTTTCGTCCTTTCGTTGAACGAACAAGGATCTAACGGACCGATATTCCATCAGAAATTTTACGACTCTTTCGGATGAGAATATTGGGGTAAATATCGTAGAGAATAATAGTATTCTAGCGGAATTATTTTATTCTCGAATGCTTGATAATTGGATAGCTAAAGTAGGACAGTTTCGTTTAACGTTACCGTAAAATCAAAATTTCTTAAAATTGTTGTATTCTTTGCAAGCTTGACAATTGAATAGCTGCCAATGAAAAAAAGAAAAAAAAATGGAAAGTATGTAAAAAGTAGGACAATTTGTTTTAACATTATCGTAGAATAAAGTTCCTTGAATTAAACTGGCATATTATTTTTTAGAAATACGAAAATTTCATTTCATTCGTTGAATATTAACAATTGAAAATTACTTATTAAATTAGCAAACGTGGAAGTAGAAAATTCTCTGTTTTGGCAATTAGTGACGTAGAATCTGGTGGAGAAAAGTATCCAAAAATCATCCGTAACAGAGAACCGCCCCAGAAATTTGGCAGTGTAACAAGACAACTTTTCTCAATTTTAATATCAGCGAGAAAAATTACACGATTTGCCTGTTAGTAAGAAAACGATCAATATCTCGACTGGAAGGTTTTGAAGAAACGCGAAAATTCGAGTTGGTGGGATCACGCGATCGCGAGTGATGGAAGGAAGATCCGTGTTATCTGGCACAATTGAATTAATTAATCGGCCCCCGTTTTCTATCGATCTAGCCGTCATCGAGACGTTCTGAATAATGCGAAGCCCCGGCGAGTCACGTTGTATTTTGATCCCGCGGATTGCTCGAGTTTCTTCGAGTCGTCCTCGTGAATTTTGCAATCGATTATGGACGCCATCGATCCGCCTTTATTCCACACTTTACTCGCCAGAAGTGGAATAATTGGGAAATTGGTGTTACGGTAGTTTTCTCTCTTAAACTACCTGTCAAATGTTTTATGTCATTTGCGATTTGATATACTAAAGAATTGTATCACTTTTGGTCTTGCAAAAATTCAAATTTATTTTTGTAGTAAGAGCATCCTTTTAAAAGCCACGATTTTTCACGGATACTTGTGGCAATTAGCAAAGTCAAGACAGAAAATTTGAAAAATTGGCGTGAATAAGGTTTCTAAATGTTTTCTTACTTTTCTCTGTAAACCATCAAACTCCTGCTGCTCTCGTGAAAATTTAAAATTAGTCTCTGGAAGAACTACTCTCACAATATTTCCATCACCAAGAATTCATAAATCCGAAATCTTCCAGTAAAAATACCAAAAAAAGAAAGAGAACAATTTTCACAACACTGAACCAGTAAGTAATACACTTTCTCGCTTCCACGAAGCGAAAATCCAAATTCACCGATCAAATGATCCGCTCAAGGAAACATTCCTTACCAGCACAACAAATTCCAAGTTTCATTTTTGCTGGCGTTGCCGCGTTCCGCTAATGGAAAACGACATACAAAACGGCACAGGAAAGCAACGTGGGGTGAGTTCGGAAGGGGGTGGTGGGTTGGTAGCCAGAATAAAATCACCGATCCAGCCGATACGGTGCAGTTTCGTCTGAAAAATCCGGGCTGCAATACGCGAGGAAATAGTCGAGAGTCGAATCGAGCTCGCAAGAAAGGGTCGAAACGAACGGGAAAGTCTAACGTGCTCTCCCACGCTGGCGAAGTTTAATTAGGTGCGCCTCGTGGCTCCGTGTGTTTGTGTGTGCATGCGAGCCGATACACCACGGATTGCCAGGTTGTATCGAGGGAAATGGACGCTGGGTTGTCGGAAAGGGGCGGTTGGTTTAAAAGGACGAGGGTGGTTTTCTCTGGCACACGTACATCGTCGCGTAAAAGTTGCTATTGCTTGACCACCGTGAATATTTTTTCTGAGATAGTAGCAGCAGGTTTGATGTTTTCGTTCATTTTCCGACGGGAGCGTAGCTTCGTGATTTGGATTTCCTGTTTTCCGCTCCATCGCAAATTCTCCTCCCGTTTTCCATCCCATTTTTCGTTACACTTCCACCGAAACAGACTCGTTGGACGCGAATGTTCATGCAACTGTATTACACAAAGTAAGGGTGGAATCTTCCTTACTGTGCGACACTACATGTATCTCTATGGATCGGTGTTGTTCGTCATCTCCGGACAGCTTCTAATTCGATACGTTAGAATTGCATAAACACCCACGGTCCAATCATCATCCTCGTATCCATGCTCCACCATCCCTTCGGAAGACAAACTTTTGCTCGATAGTGTACCAGCGCGCGTTCGAGTGGCTAGATTCAAATGGACTGGTGCACACGCGTGTGTGCATCGAGGATGTACGTGGGTATCGGCGGTACAGAGGGTGGGAGATCGCAGAAATGGACCCTTGCCTCGAGCACGAGTCGCTGCTGTGTCACGATGAGGGGGTGGAGGAGTTGGTGGAGGAGGCGGAAGGGCTCGACTTTTGTACACGTCAGATTGAAATTTAGCGTAGGATTTGAATGAGGCGGCCGAAGAGTAGCGAGATTACCTCCCTCGTCGCTACTTCGACGTTTCTCGTCCGACTTAGCCGTCGCTACTTCGACGCCGATCGATCTCTTCCTGCTCTTCTCTATCCATTTTTCCTCCTCTCCTTTTTTTTTGGACCTGGTAGTTTTTCCTTTTTTCTTCTTTATTTCGTGACGAGAGATAGGTCCCCTTTATTCCTTGGCTCGTTCTTAGAGTTCCGGAGACCTTTGCAGCCACTCGATTTTCGGTTTTTCGAAAGTTTTGGGAAAGTAGGGAAATTTGTGCCCGTGCTGTATCTTGTGGGAATTTGTCGGTTGTAAATGAGGTGTAAAGTGATGCGGAGGAGGCAGTAGTGTCTTCTAATTGAGTTGAAATTATGGAGAAATTGTACGTCAGAGGAAATTGTCAAAGTTCAATTTTATTTCATTAATTTTCTTACCGCGAGTTTCTTTGCCAATTTTTCCACAAAATCTTTCCAGCAATCTCGGACGGTTATCGATCTAACTTGAAGGTGAACCAAGTGGGAAAACCTGTAAACTTTCCAATTACACTTCAGATGTTTGCAGAAATCTTTTCAGCAATTTTAGACATTTATTTAACGGTAATTCTTCATTCCAACTTACTTCAAGATAAACAGACTAAAGAGGAACGCGCGAATTTGCGAATTTAATATAGAAAAGTTTCCAATTACCGTTTAACATAAAAAATTCAGAAATTTCAACGTGATACGTGTTCGACGATTCGTGAACCCTCGTCAATCACCGAAAAATGTCCACCGTGTGTCTTTCCACGTTCATCGTGCCCACTTATCAGTTTCGATAAAGCGTAGAGAGCAACTTTGTTGATGACAGACAGCCGCAGGAAATTCGGTCAGGTTCCTCGACTTCCGCGGCGGCGCAGCCATCGAGAGAAGCTGTCAGACGGTTGTCAGGCCTCTCGAAAAATATTCGCTCCGACTAATTACTCGCTCGCTAATGAAATTAATTGCATATCGTACGAGGCTGCTCCACGATGCGAGGCCGCCTCGAGATACCGTGTCAAGTGCACGCCGCGAGCAACAATATCGCGCTGACGCGTTGCGAGTTGCGCGACCGCGAAAATTCCACCATCCCATCCCCACTTCCGTTCAACTGCGAGCTGTGATAAACGCGGGGAAAGTATTTCCCGCCGAATTTTCCCTCGTTTCGATGACACACCGCTCGCTGGAACTTTTTTAATTTCAGACAATTCACGAATTTTATGATCTTCGGGATTTTATGGAATGGAAGATATTCGAGTTTCCGGTTTGAAATTTTGCGCAGTGGTTCATGCACATTCCGCCGTGTCCTCTTCATTTTTTTCGTACGAATTCACACACTAGTTTCGGAGAATTAATTGTTTTTGGTAGATTGAACGGGTAGGTTAAGATACAGAGTGTCGCGTATTTTTGGAATTTTATGGGACGAAAATTAGTCGGGCTATTGGTTTCAAATTTTACACAGTTGTTCATACATACTTTGTTATATTACGTGATTTTTTTCGTGCAAATTCGTTGAACAATTACGAAGATATAAATTATTCTCTGTATAGTCCAATCCAGTTACGGGGGTATTCTAAATAGTTTAGACTTTTCAAAAAATCGACTTATTTTCCTTTTGCATTTTCTGGTTTTCGAAATTATGGCTGCGGAAGGATTTTCCCAAATTCGTAAAATA